ATTTCAATATCGTCCTTGTTTTGATCTCGCTCTCGATTTCATTCTTGTTCTCGATTTTAGTATGATTTTCGTAATTAATATACATTGTTTGTTTTCTCTGCTATCACTTGTGATCTAGCTCTCTGATCTGCGAAGTCTCTCGTCGACTTGAGTACAATCTTCGATGTTCAAAGTGTTTTTCTACTTAATTCTTGTTTATCAATTTTTTCTGATTAATCCTTGTTAATCAACAATGCTTCATAACTATTTTCAGCAATGCTTATATTTATTCTATTTGATTCTTTTGGAAACTTAATTAGGGTTTCATTGATGTTTACTTATGTTAATTATATTGATGTTCAATCAATGATTCATATAATGTTTGACTTGGTATGCGATCATATCTTGATTCTCGATGCTCGATTCACTAGGCCTTACTACTCAAATCTATTTTCTCTATCCATTGAAATGTCGCTCGATCCGTCATTTTCAAATTACAAAAACAGATTCAATATAATGTCATCGGCGGAGCTTCTAATGATCGAAGATAGTTGTTTTGAGCTTTTTTCCATCTTGTTTGTGGAAATCAAGACCAAAGAAAAAATTGTTCGAGCTTTTAAAGATTGCGTTAACTTGCACATAAGAAACTTCTTCTATTCGACCGTCAATAAAGGATGTTGTTGAGAAAATGAAACAGTTGAAAAGTTAAAAAATTTCAACATATTGTATTTAACAACAAACGAACGATGTTTTTGATTGCTTGAAAATACCAACTAAGGTAACCTGTAACTTCTCCTATCATTCAGGTATTAGTTTCTTGTGTCATACATCTAAATAATCACTTTTTTATGACCAATAGTATCAAACATTGACAACAAAATATTCTTAAGATAATATCCTTTGATCCCGACGAGATACGCGCTAGTTTAACTCTTCAGTATATATTCTTTCCTTGTACATTAATATTATTAAATTACTAAAATGCTTAAGGCTCTGTTTGATTAGTTGAGCACTTACTGATTCATACATTTTTCACTTGAAGGACATATTATTACATACAAAATTTTATAGGATCAGGTACTAAAATGGTCATCATGAAAATTAGGATTCTCTTTCTCATCATAGTGACATTGAACTTGATAGATGTTGGTAAAAAAAACCATTGTTCTTCCTTTCACATTTTATTATACCATATGAAGAAGAATGTAATTACTCAATGGATGAGTTTTGTTGCATCATTTTAGTGTTATTTTAGTGTTATAGGATGGTATTTGTGATCACAAATTTATTTATTTTTGACATTTTTAGGGAGACATTTTTTTGTGACCCACATGAAAAGTATTGAAAAATTCTACAATTCACTAATTACTTGGTGACAAAGAATCATTTTTTTTCCATTTTTAAAGTATTATTCTTTTTCGTATGATTTGGATTATGATGCTTTTGTAATGCATATATGTGAGCTTTGTCACCAAGTACTTGCTGAATTTATAACTTTTCCATACTTCCCATGCATGTCACAAATAAAAATCACCCTCCAAAAATATCAAACATAAATAAATTGATAATCACAAATACCATTTTGTAACACTAAAATGATGCAACAAAAACACATCCACTAAATAATTACATTCTTTTTAAGATCGTATAATAAAGTGTGAAACGAAGAACAATGTTTTTTTTTGTATCAACAACTATCAAGTTCAATGTCACTATGATGAGAATGAGAATCCAAATTTTCATGATGAAAATTTTAGCACTTGATGATGTAAAATTTTATATGTAATAATATGTCCTGCAAGTTAAAAATGTATGAGTCAATAAGTGTTTAACTAACCAAACAGAGCCTTATGAATTTAGTAATGTCATAATATTAATGTACAAGGAAAGAACATATATTGATAATAAAGTAAGAGTTAAACCGGCATGTATCTCATTGGGATCAAAGGAAATTATCTTGAGGATATTTTGTTGTAAATATTTGATACTATTGGTCATTAAAAAAAATGATTATTTAGGTGTATGATACACACTATTAGAAAATTATATTTTAGCTGTCGAAATTTAGCGTCGGCTACTGACTTTGACGCTAAGTTAAGTTATTAGCATTGGCCAAACCCACGCTAATACCACGCTACAAGTTTTATTTTAATTTTTAATTTTAATTTTAATTTTAGTAATTAACTAGAAACAGCGAGACCGAAGCTAATTAATTTCCCATTATTTATTTTTATCAGACCCAGTAGCCACGGTTCATCCAGCACTATGTATTTATTAATTTATTAATTATTTGTTATTTATTTATCAACATGTTAGTGTCGGATTAAGCCGACGCTATAGTTAATGCAGAATTTTTTTTAGTTCCCTTCTTAATTTTTGTTTGCTTGTTCTTTTTTTTTTTGAAATAAATTTGTTTTTCCACCAATTTTTTAATTTGCCTCCATTTTTTCTTCTTTATAATTAATAAAATAAAATCAAATATTTTTAAAATCAAACAATCCGAAAACTATTACTTAATAGAATAAAACTATAAATCAAACCAAAATTAAATTTATAAAATAAAATAAATTAAAATTAAAATTATAAATAAATAAAATAAAACAAAAACAAAAACTTAATTAAAATCAAAACTAAAAATTAAAATCAAATTGAAGAAAACCAAATATTTTTTTAAAACCAAATAAAATAAAATAAAATAAAACTATAAATCAAAACTAAAACTAATTCATAAAGAAAAATTCATAAAATAAATTTAAATAAATTAAAATCAAAACTATAAATTAATAAGTGAAGCTAAAACTAAATTGAAATTAAAAATTTAAAATATAACCAAAATTATAAAATCAAATCAAATTATAATTATAAATTGATAATAAAATAAAATAAAAACAAAAAACAAACCTTCACATTGACTCCTTCAGCGTCTTGACATTCACTCCTCCACCACAACGAATCTTACCTTTAACATATGACTCAACCCTAAATTCCCTAATTGCAACCATAAGATAACACAGACACATTCAATCGACAAAATAGCATATGTGAATCAATACAACGCAAGCAAAACCTTAACATTCAAAATATTTGTCATGGTTTAGAAATCTGATAACTCAACAAACTTGGAAAAAAGTAAAATTGAATCAACATGGTGAGATTGATAAGTATAAGGCTCGCTTAGTAGCAAATGGATATGCGCAACAACACAAAATTGATTATGAAGAAGTATATGCGCCAGCGGCAAGGCTAGCCATTGTGCGTATGAGTTTGGCTCTTGTTGCGTAACGAAGTTGGGTTGTGTATCAGCTGGACGTGAAGTCCGCATTCTTACAAGGTAAACTTACAGATAAGGTGTATATTGATCAATCAAAAATATATGAAGTGAAGCATGAAACGACTAAGGTATACAAGCTCCATAAAAGCTTTATACGACCTTAAACAAGCACCGAGAGTTTGGTTTAGCAGACTTGAAGCATACTTCAGAAACATGGGCTTTGATAAAGAAGCAAGCGAATAAACCTTGTTCACCAAGATCAATCAACAAGGAAGAAATTTGATTTAGCCTATATGTTGATGATTTGATTTATACTGGGAAAGATGAAGCTATGTTGAAATAATTCAAACAATCAATGATGGAGGAATTTGAAATGATTGATCTCGGGAGAATGCACCACTTCCTTGGCTTAGAGGTTATGCAGCTTGACAGTGAAATCTTCATCTCTCAAAAACGATATGCCAAAGAGGTCTCGAAGAAGTTTGGCATGGATAAAAGCAACTTGGTCCTAAATCCTACTATTTCTGGGGTTAAAATTGATAAAGATCATATAGGTGTGACAATAAACAGCTCCATGTTCAAGCAACTTGTCGGTAGTTTGATATATTTGACCACTACCAGGCCAAATCTGATGTATGCAATTTGTATAGTCAGTAGATATACGGCCAAGCCAACTGAGATGCACCTTATGGCAACAAAGAGAATATTGAGTTATGTACAAGGAACTATGTGTTTTGGGATTTTCTATCAAAGATCAGGCAATCAGGAGCTTGTGGGATACACAGACAACGACTATGCTGGATGTATCGATGACAGCAAAATAACCTCTTGTTATGCCTTTATACTTAGCAATGCAGCAGTGACATGGTCATCAAGGAAACAACCTATAGTCACACTCAGCACCACCAAAGCAGAATTCGTAGCTGCGTCAGCTTGTGCCTGCCAACTGATTTGGGTGAAGAGGGTGTTGTCCAAATTGGACTACAATGGAAGCAAAAGTCCAGTGATTTTTTGTGATAACAGTTCTACCATCATGTTCTCAAAGAACCCGGTTATGCATGGAAAGAGAAAACATATTGATGTGCGCTTTCATTTCCTCCATGATTTAGTAAATGAAGGAAATGTTCAATTGAATTATTGCGACACCAAACAGCAGATAGTTGATATCTTTACTAAGCCGCTCAGGCTTGAAGTCTTTCAAGAACTCAAGAAGAAGCTTGACGTATGTGATATCTCAGAGATAAACTAGACAATCTAGTTTAGAGGGAGAATTATTATGTTATTATTAATATTATTATTAATTGTTATTTATTATATGTAACTGACTTAGTCTCTATTGATCATGAAAGAATTATATTTGTTAGTTTTAATTATGTCTAAATGGTAGAGTATCAAATATAACTTAGTGACCCTGATATTTGCCAAACATTCACTTTAATTTTCTTTTTGTAAACTATTTATATAATAGTATTTTAATTATAATAAATAAGCCACTTAGATTTACTAACACCGATAACTCAACAAACTTTGCAAAAAAGTAAAAAAAAAAAACGGATTACAACATCAAAAAACACAGGAAAGGAAAAAGAAAATGGAAGGATGAAGGAGTACCACCAACCCGAAAGATCTTGGCGGTAATTGATTTCTCGCGGCGGCGTGTTGTTGAGTCGTGGTGGCTGCGCGTGCTTCTGTTGTCGTCGGCGTCGTTGGGTGGTGAACCGGTCGTAGTTTCTTGCGTGTGGGTTTCACGATGATGTTAGTAAGCACCAGATTTGTTATCGGAGTTACTTTTAGCGGTGACTTATGGAGGCACAAGGTATTTCGGTTTCTCCAATCTTTTCCTTTCTGTTTCAATCTTCTTTCTTCTTCTGCTTATGTTTTGTTTTGGATGTTTCGCTTTTCTTTGGTTTATCAGTTGTCTTGTTATTTTTTTGATGTCGTGATATTGATGATGTTTCGCTTTTCCTTTATTATTCTGTTGTACTACATTGTACATACTCTTGTTGAGATTAATAGTATGTGAAAAGACAAATTATCAAGTGCTAATGTATTTTATGATTTTGACATATACAGGTTGTTGTTAGTGATGGTGGAACTGATGATGCCAAAAAAGGGGTGATGCTTTTACTCTTGCATTTTCTGAGCTATCTTGCTGGAAGATGGTTCATGGATCCATTGTTGAAAGTAACTATTCACTACAAAAAAGAAGCTTAGTTGCCACGTGAAATTCATGTGGCAAACATCAAAATCACGTGGCAAAGCAAAATTAGCGACGTGGTGAGTTATGTCGCTGGGGAGTAAGTGGCAAGCAAGTAGCGACGTGATTCCCACGTCACAAAGTTGTGACGTGGTATTCACGTCGCTACATATTTGTTAATGCAGCTTTATTAGCGACGTGAGATTCATGTCACTAATTTGTGACATGAATCCCACGTCGCTACAGGGGACGTTTTTATTTTTTAAAAAATTGTTAATAATTATTTTTTATATTAATTCATTAATGTAATAAAATTTAAATAATAAAATTTATATAATAAAATTTAAATAATAAAATTTATATAATAAAATTTATATATTAAAATTTATATAATAAAATTTATATATTAAAATTTATATAATAAAATTTATATAATAAAATTTATATATTAAAATTATTAGAATAATAGTATTTTATTTTATATTTCGAATAATAGAATTTTATAAAATAAATTCACATAATTAAATGTTATATAATTTATTAATTTAAAATGATAAAAATAAATATCTTACATAAATGCAAATATAAAAACGAAATAAAAAAAATGTTTTCACGGGGCATCTTCACCCGGAAAATTATCAAGATCAAAGTCATCAAGTCCGTCATCATCCGGCTGTGTATGATCAGGAACATTTTGATTTCGACCCCCTTGCATAAACTGTCTCATCTGCTCCTCCATATCAGATTGCCGCTTCCGCATGATCTCTAACTGACGCTCCTGCTCTTGCCTCATTGTCGTCATTTGGGCCTCCATTTCGCGTCTCACTTCACTGGCCGCCAATTGTCGTACTGTTTCAAGTTGAACCTGAGTCAGATTGGGTTGACGTGACCCCCCTTCTCCATCTCTAAGTCTTTGAAACAGATTACGATCACCAACTCTCAAGCCGGCGGCCAAATTTCCTCCCGCAAAAAAGCAACCATTAGGCCCTTTTCCATTAACAACCTCATTCCAAATATAGAAATCAACATCCCCATTAAGCGGCTCCCCCTCTGCTGGCCTATATTGCGGATTGTGTTCTAGAAAATTTGCTAGCAATGTCTGATAATCATCCTACACATTAAATTATACATTAAAAATATTACATAATACAATTAAAAAAAAATTAAAACATTTATATATTAAATTATACTAAATTCAAATATATTAAAAATTTGTCACGTGATTTTCACAAATCAACTTATGAATTGCCACGTGAGTTTCCCGTGGCAATGTATCAGTTGCCATATGAAAATCAGTCACCTGGCAATTTATCAGTTGCCACATGATAATCACGCCACAACTTATAGATTGCCACGTGGAAATAACGTCACTATTTTTGTTATTAACTTAAAAAAAAAACATAAGTTTAATTACTTACAAAAGCTTTCTGGGTGCGGTCGTCGACAAAACCTCCCGATTTTTTTGTCCGAGTCCTCGTAATCAACTCAATCATCAATGGTGGTCTCCCCATCTCCTTAGTCTAAACAATAAAGTTAAAAATAATTAGTAACAAATATTATGAATAAAAATATATATAACTTAAAAAATTAGTAATATTTACCATCCGTCGGACATGCTCTGCAGTGCTAATACTTCCAACAGTATTGACACATCCCCCTTTTTCTGATGCCCTCATCTTCTTAAAATTTTCAGATTTGGCCTTGAATTCTGGCGAACTCCAATATGTACGAAGTTCGCCAAAAACCTCTACGCCTATCCAGTTAGGACGGATACCATGCAGCTCATAATTCTCCCTAACCCGCCGCATTATATCCGAAAATCTTCTAGAAGTTCTGCTATAATATATTTTTTCCATTATTTTCTCATTCAACGGATCCCACACACATTTTTCCTGCAATGTTGTATGACATTAAAATAAAAAGTTAAGCAATTATCATTAAAATGTGACTTAAATAACAATACTAAAAAAATATAATAAATTTACAACTTAAATAAATAACAATACCTTAAATTTTTTAAACCATTCTTCTTTATTTGTAACCTCGCCAAAGTTCTTCCAAGAGGATTTATACATCTGCTGGATTATATAATTAATAACCTTGGCAGCCGTCCGACTCGGCGCGAAACTAAACAACAAGATTTTGAATAAACAATATTAATTATAAATTTATACAAAATATTAAAATGAATATGTACTTAAATAAAAGTTTATATAAGAAACTTACTTGCTTCCTTCGGGCCAAATCCAAAACCTCCCGTCAATTACATGAATCTCACTCGGATCATCTGATCTCTCACGAATATCAGCTCCATCTATATCATCAGCTACGACATCTGCATCACCGCCAGCCTGTGTAGGACGTGGGGTGCTGGATCCTGCAGCCTGTGTGGGATGAGGGGTGCGTGACCCTCCGGTCCGTCTAGGACGTGGGGCGCGGGATCCTGCAGCCTGTGCCGGACGTGGACTGCTGGGTCCTCCAATGTGTGTGGAGTGTGGGGTGCTGGACCCTCCCGCCTGCTGGAAGGATGAATACATCTGTGTGGGTCCCCCTGTCTGCTGGAATGATGAAGGCACGCCAGTCTGTATAAATGGAAAACTGGGTCCTCCCCCCGTCTGCTGGAATGATGAGGGGACACCAGTCTGCTGGAAAGATGAAGGCACCTGGGTCGGTGCGAAAGGGAAACTAGATCCTCCCGCATGCTGGAAGGAAGATGGCATCTGAGTATGTGGGAAAGGAACACTAGATCCTCCCGCCTGCTGGAAGGATGACGGCATCTGGGTCGGTGGGAAAGGGAAACTAGATCCTGCTGCATGCTGGAAGGAAGACGGCATCTGAGTCTGTGGGTAAAGGAAACCGGGGCCTCCAGGTGGCACAAAAGATGCAGGTACCCCAGACGGGAATGTATGGGAGGAGAGTAATGGGACAAAACCCTGAGTACTGGCCAGGGACATATGATCAACCTGACTCTGAGGGGGTGGGCACATGGCTGAGTGAGGAGACTCACATGTTACTACCCTCGGACGCTGAGACTTCTTACCGGTATCCTTATTCTTCGGTGCCATTTTACCTAGTTATATATATTTTCATAAACAAAGATAATAAAGTCATTGACATAAATATATATTCATTGACAAATTCAATATATAAATGTTCAATAGATATTCATTAATATTACATTAAGTGATTAATTAATCTAAATCTTCATGCTCGTTATCCATATCATGTTCATCATCCGATGTAATATTGTCCTCGGATTCAAACTCTTCATCATTGTCTTCATCCACATTATTATCAACCAACAATATAGACGCATCAACTTGAAGGCCCTCAACAGTTGTATCGGACAAAGTTGTAATGTCTTCAGCTGCAACCACATCATTAATCTGTTCAACGTCATCAACTTGGTAGGCAACATCTTCCACTAGATCTCCAGTTTCAATATGACCTAGCGGTTTTGTTTTTATTACAACACACCATCCTCTTTTACGTATTACAAATGAAGGATAAGGAACATAATAAACTTGCCTAACAATATGTGACATTATGAAAGGGTCATATTCTTTGTATCTCCGGTTCATTTGAATCTCGACAGAACCATATGACTTGTCTATCTTTGTGCCTCTAGTTGGATCATACCATTCACAATAAAACAAGACAACTTTATTTTCCGTGTCCAAGTAATTGTATACCAACTCGTAGATATGTTTAACAAATCCATAGAAGTCGTCTTCACCGCCATCTGTAACTCCTTTTACAAAAACACCACTATTTATGGTTTTTTTCCCTTCGGTCCATGCCTCAGTGTGAAATTTATATCCGTTCACGAAGTATGTGTGCCAATCATTTGCGCTTTGGATAGGGCCTTCTGCCAAGTTTCTCAAATGGAGTATTTCTGGAGTTAGTGCAGGAACGCTAGACAATGTTTGCTTGAACCATGAGGGAAATTGAGCATGAATGACACCTGATGTTGACTGTACCCCGGTACTATGAAAATAGGCATTGTTAAATTCCCTACAAAAAACACACAATAAGTTTAATAAGTTTGGTATACACACACCATAAGTTTAAAAAGTTTTGGTAAACTCACTCAAGATATGGTTTAACTTCAACGCAGTTGATCAAGACATGGACATGTGCAGATTGCATTTCTTTTTGGGTCAACCAATGCACACCCTTCTTTCCAGAAGGTCGACCTGGTAGCGCAAAGACTGATAAGGTGAATTGACTCCTCTGATTGACATTTACAGGATTCCGTATGATTCTAGGAGTTAACATCAAGTGATTGAAATAGTGACTGCAAAAATGTGATGTTTCCCGATGCAAGTAATGTGCACATATAGATCCTTCTACTCTAGCTTTATTTTTTACCGATCTCTTTGAATCACCCATGAACCTTTCAAACGGATACATCCACCTATATTGAACAGGTCCACCAAGATAAGCCTCATATGCAAGATGCACAGGTAAATGTTCCATGGAGTCAAAGAAACCAGGCGGAAATACTTGTTCCAACTTACAAAGAATGAGTGCAATGTTTTGGTCCAACTTAATGATGTCTTCCACTTTTAAAGCTGACGCACAAATATCTCTAAAAAATTGACTAATTTCAGTTAGTGGGTCAAGAACATGTTTGGGTAGCGATCCAAATGCAATTGGTAGCAACTGTTCCATAAAAATGTGACAATCATGACTTTTCATACCATGCAATTTTCCAGTGTTAGGGTCAGCACACCTTGCTAAATTTGATGAATACCCATCGGGCATTCTCAATTCTTTTAACCATCTACAAACCGCTTTAGCTTCTTGGGAAGTCAGACTGAAACAAGCCTTGGGTTTTAATAATTTTCCATTCGGTTGAGGCTTCAACTCCAACTCTCTTCGATTACACCAAATTCCCATGTCTTGTCTGGCCTTCTCATTATCTTTTGTTTTTCCTGTCACATCCATCACTGTGTTAAATACATTATCAAAAAAATTCTTCTCAATATGCATAACATCAAGATTATGGCGCAACAAATTATCTTTCCAATACGGAAGATCCCAAAATATACTTCTTTTTGTCCAATTGTGGGTGACGCCGTATCCTTCAATTCGGCATGCTTTCCCAGTATCTGTAAATTTTGGTAGTTCACATACTTGGTTCCATATAACCCCTGGTGGCAATCGAGGCGGAGGCAAATCTTTCTCTCGTACATCTTTTTTAAAATTTGTCTTGTTTCTTCTATACGGGTGATTTGCTGGTAGGAATCTGCGGTGACAGTCAAACCATGAGCTTTTCCCACCTTTATCCAACGTAAATGCTTTGGTGTATCCCATGCAATGCGGACAACCCATTTTTCCATGCGTACCCCAACCAGACAACATGCCATATGCTGGAAAGTCATTAACGGTCCACATCAAGGCAGCTCGTAATGTGAAGTTCTGTTTACGGGATATATCATAAGTCCATTCTCCAATCCACATCTTCTTCAAATCATCAATTAAAGGTTGTAAGTACACATCAATTCCGGCTTTTGGACTGTGCGGGCCTGGAATAACACACGTCAAAAACATGTATGGTTTTGTCATGCACATCTCAGGAGGGAGGTTGTAAGGTGTTACAATAACTGGCCAACAAGAGTACGCACTTCCTGACGCTTGCACGTATGGGGCAAATCCATCAGAGCATAATCCAAGCCTGACATTTCTAGGTTCTGCAGCAAAATCTGGATGTGTCCGATCAAAGTGCTTCCATGCCTCACCATCAGATGGATGTCGCATAGTGCCAGAACTTGTTTGGTTTGTATGATGCCATGTCATTTGACTTGCACTGTGCATTGAAGCAAACATTCTTTTTAACCTTGGTATTATAGGAAGATAAAACATGGATTTTACTGCTACACGCTTTTGCTTGCTGTTAACGGCTCTACTGCGAACTTGATATCTTGGACTATTACAAAACTTACACTCCTCTAACGATCCATCTTGAATACCAAACTCATTGTCATAAAACAACATGCAACCGTTAATGCAACAGTCAATCTTTCTTACTTTTAAACCCAACTTCGACACCCACTTCTTTGCATCATAATAACTTGTAGGCAAATTGTCTTTCGTAGCGGTGGAGTCCAACATCATTTTTGCAAAATGTTCCAAACATTGATCAGAAACATTCCAATTTGACTTGGCAGCCAATAATCTCACACACATTGATAGCTTCGAGTCTGACGACCCCTCAAACAACGGCGTATTCATCTCGTTCAATAATTGATAAAATCTTTGCGCTTCCTCATTCGGCAACTCTTCCCCGTCAAAATCTTCAGGTTCATCATATGTCACGTTCACACCAAAAGCATCCTCAACCATGTCACCGATCAAATTAAAGTTCTCCTCATACTCCATAACCGGTCGACTACTTGAAGCATGCGTGTTGCTAGTCTCTGGTACATTAACCGGTAGTTCTTCACCATTATACGTCCAAACCCAATAATTTTCAATGAATCCCCTTCTATGCAGATGACGTGTTACTTCCTCTGGGTCACTAATTATTGGTCTACATTCACACTTAAGACAGGGACATCTAACCCCTCCTTCGCTTCGACAACAATCCTGAGCAAACGCCCACTTAATAAACCCATCAACTCCTACTATAAAATTGGGTTTAAGTCCACTTCTTCCTGGATATGTTCTATCG